TTTTTTTTTTTTTAAATTGTTATCTGGACGGAGGAAAAACGATCAAAGATGAGCGTTATTTCCAGTAATACGTAAGTGGTCGTAAAAAGAAAGGGGGGGGGGGGCGGGCGAGTTTGCACAAGGTTTCAAACGTAGCAATGCCGATAGGGATTTAATGAGATGTCGCCCAAGTATCACAGGTGTGCACACTATTTTAACAAAATTTCTCTTTACTTCTTGCGTCAACGAAAGATGAGGGGTCTGCTGGATTCGTAATGGAATCAATGTCAATGTCTTAAACTATAATAGTATTTAGGAGTTTCCTCGATCGGCGCACAGTTTGGGAACCACTGGTTTAGAGATCCAGTGTTGTAGAATTAAACATGTCTCAACTTTAAAGAAAAAACAACAAGCTAATCACCTGTATAACACAGATCCCTTTAAACAATTTTAAAAATAATAATAATAATAATTACGTTTCCAGTCTAAAAGGCCAGTAATCTTAAAATAGCTCCATTTTGAATAGCTCCCCTTTGGCGCACACATCGAACGTTGGGGAAGCACTGCAGTACTCATACCGTGGTAAATCAAAAGCGAATAGTCGATATCATGTTAGCTTCTTTCAGGCGAATTCAGTCTCAAAGGTGAAAACAAGGTAAAATGTTCGCCTCTATATTTCAGCGATGAATCCATTGACTCATTACTGGATTTTACTTTATTTGTTCATAATTTTATTGTGTTTACTTCTTTAGTGTCTTGTGTGCTTTTTCTCGTTGCATATCCTACTATAATAGATATATTAAAGTCTTTAAAAAAATTGCTTAACGGTTGTACTGGATATAAGTGGTTATAATATGATAAAAGTTGATGCATTCAAAATCACGGGGCTAACTGGCAATGCACACAAATGAAAGGAAGGGGATTTGACAATGTGTATTTTATTTTATTTTTATTACTAAAATATATACAACACATCTAATTTCAAAAAGTGATGTTTTAGCTAGCATGGTTAATAATTTTTTTAACACGGTAAGCTGATTTAATCAAAACGTAATATATTTTGTCACATTTAAGACTATGACCAAATAATCATTCAGCATGAAAGATTGATAAATAACATTTATTTTTATTAAACACAGTTTTTTTGCGTCGATATATTCCAAGGCAATCACATCAGCTACTGATCTTAAGGCTGCGCATTTAAATACTACCAAACCTAAGACCTTGAGAGTTATGCAACGCAGATGATTATTTTTGTGCCCCCAGAAAATCCTAAATTAGGGGCCCCATAAATTCTAAAATAAGTGAAGCAAATGTTATTGTACACACACACACACACACACCACACACACACACTATAATTCCGCCCTTGGGAGCCGCGAGTGGGTGGAGCCCGGAGTAATTTACTTGGTTGCCTCGGACTCGGCACGGTCCTGTTTGAGATATAAGGGCGTATTCTGAACTCTCATTTTTCATAAAACATCTGCATAACGTCCAATAAGATAGCATTATTTTTTTAATGGATTTTATCACAAGCTTTCCAAATGGTTTAGTTTAGTAACTGAAGTCAGAGTCATCTGTGTCTTGCGAGGTCAGATAACCAGGGCCGATTCAGGGCTGTGAACATTTAGTTTAGTAACTAAATAAAATTGTGTACATTATTAAATATTGATGAATCCATCACCGTCAAAATCGATCCCCTTTTTTCCCTCCAAAAAAACTTTTTTTTTTTCTCGTTTTTTTTTTTTGTGTGTTCCATTTCTAGGAATAATCCTGGTTGTGGGTCAGCACATCTTGATAAGTGGGTCACGGCACTAAAATGGATAAATTTTTTCCCTTCAAAAAATCTTTTTTTTTTTCTCGTTTTTTTTTTTTTTTGTGTGTTCCATTTCTAGGAATAATCCTGGTTGTGGGTCAGCACATCTTGATAAGTGGGTCACGGCACTAAAATGGATAAGAATCGCTGGTATAGGCTCATAAAGCAATTCAACTATTTGCCTTGGCCCATTTGTTTTGGTTTTTATTTATTACATCCTGCTCCAGGAGGCTACACCTTTTATTGATATGAGTTTCATTTTTTTTTCTTACGGTTCATCTTACTTCTTAAACTTGTTCATGTAACTTCTTATATGGTTTATGTTACTTCTTACACCGTTTTATGATAATTCTTATACTAGTTCATGTTAATTTTTATACAGTTCTTGTTACTTCTTACAACCATTCATGTTATTTCTTATACTGGTTCATGTTACTCTTAGACCGAATCATGTTAATTTTTATACTAAGTTTATGCCACCTCTTCCACTGGTTAATTTTAATCCTCATACATTTCATGTTACGTCTTACACTGTTTCATGTAACATCTTGTATGCCTACTTGTTAAGTTGTGTTCGCACGTTGCTCTCCGGCGGTCGGAAAGAGGTCATCATACCAAACATTGCTGTCTGGAGGTCAGATAGAGGCCCTCATACCAAACTTTGCTGGCCGGAGGTCGGATAGAGGCCCTCATACTAAACGTTGCTGGCCGGTGGTCGGATAGAGGCCCTCATACCAAACGTTGCTGGCCGGAGGTCGGATAGAGGCCCTCATACCAAACGTTGCTGGCCGGAGGTCGGATAGAGGCCCTCATACCAAACGTTGCTGGCCGGAGGTCGGATAGAGGCCCTCATACCAAACGTTGCTGGCCGGAGGTCGGATAGAGGCCCTCATACCAAACGTTGCTGGCCGGAGGTCGGATAGAGGCCCTCATACCAAACGTTGCTGGCCGGAGGTCGGATAGAGGCCCTCATACCAAACGTTGCTGGCCGGAGGTCGGATAGAGGCCCTAACAACACACGTTACTTATGTGAAGTAAAACGTGTACAGAAGAAAAAGAAGAGTGGTCTCAAACGTTAGCCCAAATAATCGAATTAGCTTACCCCATGCTTTTTCTTTACTTTAATTTTACAAGTATTTTACTACCACTCACAAGAGCCAAACACAACAAAACCAATATCAGTTTAGATTGTGCCATTAGATCGTCTTTTTTTATGCTAATAATAAAAAATAATTTTTTCTTGCAAATGTTTCAGAAAAAATTGTTTTAGATTCGAGCTGTCAAAGATTTGAAAAGTCACCTTCTTTGGTTTCACCCAAAACCATAATTTCATTCAGCTGTGAAGACAGGACTAGCAGGACTACGTCTATGGTAAGAAATGAATAAACGTTAAACAGTAAAGAAATTTGTTTATAATTCACGTTGTGTATGTTTACATTTGGTGTGTGTGATGAAATGTGAGTCATTGTAAAAAAAAAAAAATGTGTGCAGATTCTAAGGTTCAGCTTTTAAAATATATATATATTTATAAGGCAACGCCAGCTGAGCTGACCATTTGTTTGCGAGAAAAATTGACAACACGTGGAATTAACCTGCAGATTTATATTTTAAAACAATAATAATTTTAATTGGTAAAGCACACTCAATTTTACATCTTAACCCTTCAAAAATGTATTTAATGTACAGTTAAACATCAAGCGAGAGTAGGGGGTTCAAAAAATTATGTCGAGTTAAAAATAAGGTGATTGCATTATTGTGGGGTTTTACATTACTCGGTGTGAACTGAATAGCATTCAGATTTATTGAATTTTTTTTTTTACTTGTGGAGATAGAGGATTTATGTTTTCATCATTTGTGGTAGAAAGTTATGTGTTGTTGCAGCCTGGCTGGTTTTTTAGTTAAGTGTGTGACGGTTACAGCTGGTTAGAATATTGCGAAGCAATTAATTCTTGTCCGTGGACGGGTTCATGTACAGGTCTCGTTGCTGTAATTTTTTTTTCTTTCTTTAGCTTCAGAATAACCATAAGCATCATAAGAAATAACAGATTTTGCGAGAGTAAATGTCTTCTTGTCTGTAAACGAAATGCTTCGCCAACGTCTCCCGTTTGAAAACCGGTCAAGTCACTGTTGACATCGTTGCTGCGGTCTTAAGATGCAACGGGCCGTAATACAACGGGCCCCATTACCAAGTTATATGCCTCTGTAGATCTTGCTTTACAATGTGTTGCACTGCTGTTCTTCGTGGTATGTCAGTTTCTCCTACCATTTCCCGGGGACTCGCGTGATCGTGAGGATGGTCATCCTGTCTGCAATCAGCTCACTCGCGCGCTGACTGTCCTGTTTCGTTTTTGCGAACTTTGAGCAGCCATTTCATCATTTCGTGCTAACATACTATCGGATTCATTTATTTTTTTTTACAAAGATGATCAATACTTGTTTAACTCCGTGTTTTACACGGAAACTCCAAAATCCTTCGCATTGTTACCCATTCTTGTTTAATTTCCCTTTTTAAATTTAAAATCAGAGTGCGTCCACCGATGCTATTTTTATGGTTTAGCAACAGTAAATACAGATAAATTAATTAAAATATAAAGGTGGCAACCGGAAGTAGACGACATAAGGACTTCGTACCGAGAAAGCTACTTAGTGATCTGGGACCACTCCGGGTTTGAATTCAGAGTTTACTTCTCTTAGATGAATTACCATCCAAGCTTAACGGGTCCCATCCACCACGGAAGCTGGTGGTGTTTTTGCTTGATTTGGCTTAAGTTAAGATTGAACTCCCCAGACTGTGAACTTGAGATTGGCATATTTTAGGCTACTCGGGTGAAACATCAGAATATTAAAATATAGTTCAGGAGCTGTGGCGTACTGAAAAAGAGAGGGGAGTGGGGCAGGGTAAAACTAATAGGAAATCTTCTAAAGTGCGTTACTTGAATGAATATTTTGTCAAGTAACTTTAGTAGATGGGAAGTTCCAGCATGGCGTCCGCCATTCTTTGAAGGGCTATAGCAAGTTTACATTTAATATCACATTAAATAGAAGTTTATAAAACTTAATTGCTCTGCCTTTTTATTCGACAACTAGGAGGACATCTTTTCAAGAGGTGCCAAGACTGGACCAGAGGAAATTGAGCGCTTTGTGAAGATGGTGATGGAAAACTGGAGCGAGCTCAATTCTGTTAACAAAAGGGAACGCTTGGATTTGTTGGTGAAACTGCTGACCAGATTTGAGAGCATGCTACCGACCATTGAAAAATCGTTTGAAAACTTTAAAATCACAGGTTTGTTCTGGTATAAATAAGCAAATTGGTTGGGGGGGGGGGATTTTTTTAGAAAAGCAAACCACAGATTGAGATACATTAACCTTTTGAACGTTAAAGAAAGAAGAATTTCAATGTTTATTCATAAGTTAGGTAAGCAACACTATGATGTCATACTGTCATGGCACGACACTGTTAACATCGCCACAGTAGAATCGTGTCTGTAGCGAAGACCCGCCACACGCGTTCAGCCTTATGAGTGCTATTATTACGGCTCACCTTTAAAATTGAATGAAATCGGGTCCATAGAACCTGATCTATAAAAAGCTGGTCTATGTACGCCATACACGTATTGACAGGGAAGTTTTGTTGTTGTTTTTTTATTCGGCATCTTTTAGTCTCAAGCTCTTTTGAACAAACATGTGCGCAATAGCCTGGGCAGACTGAATCATTGTACCATGCCCCCCCCCCCAACTGAGCCTCATATTTAGTCGGCAGCCGATATAAAAAGTCAAGATAAAATAATATAATTCTTTTTGATATAAAAATCCCCATACATGTGTAGTATGTTTTCTTCCTTCAGACGTACTAATAGAGATTTTAAAGCAGTCGCCAGCTGGCGGAGGCTCGAAAGGGGAGAGAAGCAGTTTTCTAAATCTTAAAAGAAGAGCTCTTCATATCTGCGCAGCCTACTCACGTGTCAGTGAATCCATTTCAAAGGTGAGGATATTCTGTTTTAAATAGAACAAAACTTTAACTGATTGGATAAAGTAATACCAAAAAAATAAAATAAATAAAGGTATACAGTCCACAACGCTTTAAATTCTTCGTTTCGGGTCAAGTAAGATTATTTGTTCTCTTTCTTTTGTTTCCTCCAGGAGCTTTCTAAAAGCGACGCAATTCAAGTTTTAACTTCGTTGATGGGGAAGGATAACTCCTACTGGGGATTGGAGGAGAAGGTTAATTTTTTAATTTTTAAAAATTATTTATTTCTGCTCATTATATGTGATTTCAAAATATATTTGAATTATGAGGTACATGCATAGGAGCCAAAATGATCAATAAATTGATCGTGGGCCCTTAAGATATAGAAGAAGAAGTAGAAGGTACATTCTGGTTGACATGTAGATTAGTTCTACGTGTTATGTACGTCTTGCATTCAAAAGTAGAACTATTTCTTCATTTTCTCAACGATGCAAGTGCATCTTTTGTTTCGTTTTTTTTTTTTTAATGCTTGCAATTTTGAAAAGAAGTATTACACAAGCTACATTTCACAAAATAAACTTGTAAGCATAAGTACTATTACGTGTTGACAGGAATTCCTTGAAATTCAAAGAGACTGTGTCGATGCTTTGATCAACATGTGCAGGAAGGGATCAGATATACAAGCCTTCAGGGAACCCAAAGTCAGATGGGTATTTATCTTTCCTTTTTCACTCAATGAAAAGATTGATTACGATAACTTGAACTATATAATACGTGCGTCTTTTCGTAAAGCATTACAGTAACATGGATACGGTGAGCTGTTCTTAAATATGTAATGGATTACAGTAACATGGATATGATTAATATGAATACATAGAAAAAAAAATTTTTTTTTTAAACGTGAAAACATGTCGGGAAATACAACATCGTGGGACACAATGTCAGAGAAATATCACGGATTATTGCTTACACCAACCCCGCATATTTTTTTCGTTCCAGATATTACAGAAGTATCTTGACACCAACGATCAAATTACTAGAATCGCTGCGGTGTCCACATTGATCCAAGTGTACGCCCCTGCAAGCACCCACGGGGCCCATCGCGATAAAGGTTAGCAGCATTGTGAAATTTGAAAAATCTCCTTTAGACATTTAATTAATACAATCAAAATCCAAGAATTAATCGACCTTCCAGCCACGTTTATCTCATAACTTGTTCTGTTTTGGAACCGGATTGAAAGGCAATAAATAAAGATAATACAATTTGCATTCAAGATATCATGAGATATCTTTAAAAGCGGTTTTGGACCATAAAAAATGTGATCCAAAATAAATCGTGCCACCTGCTGAATAGTCCATAGTTTAAAAACAGTTCTTGCTAAAATAATTATCATTACAAAGTGTAGAGGAGAACCCGAAGAAGGACACTAACACACTAAGAGTGGACGTTTCGGCCAAAGAAAAGGCCTACGACAACAAAAATAGTTAAAGACAGAGACAAACTCTCTGATCTCATTTTCTAGATATTATGCAGTCTACTATTTCCCTAGACGAAATCCTCGAATAAACTTAAACTAAAACTGTTGCCATGACATCTTCAAACATAACAGTACCGGTAATAACAACACGATGCTAGGCTCCTTTTTTTACGACTATCCCTCTGAACTAGGCCCATACGCCACAAACGTTATTGGAGCGCGTTGGTGCTGCCCCACATCAAAAACAGAGTCCAAGAGGTGCGCAGCAAATTAAAGCTAATCTTCATTTCTAGTCTGATCGCGACATCTATATTACCTTAACACCTGGTTATTAGCATGCAAATTTAAAGGTGTTAAATTTAAAACTCTTCTCTTAAAGCACAGATTAATTTTTCTTCTGTCCACCACCGCAGTCGTTTAAAAAAAATAATAATAAAATAATTAACTTAAATAAATCATTTTAGTAGCATTTAATTAGCTCTTTTCGCAGTTAACTCATGACAATTTTGAAAAATGATTAAATTCGTGAAACTTAAATCAATACAAACTGAAGACAGCTTTTTGTCATGTTTGACAGGTTTAGACTTGTTCTGTTTTTTCATGAATGAGCTTTGATTAGCTGAAATATAAAATATTCAATTTATGCAACTTGCCGGGGAATGTTACCAGTCCGTATAATAGTATGCCGATGGATATTTTAAATTATTTGTAGCAGGGTGCCACTAAAATAGCTATTATTATATTATAATGTTACACACAGTTTGAAACGAAGTGCCTAGCTATACTCATATGGTTGGCATCGGTCTTATCTGGCCTCTTTGTAACACTCATTTTAGATGCTTATGTGTTTGTAGAATGTTAATAGTGATCTCATGCCATGTGCCTATGCCTTAAGTAGACACAGTGTGTGTGTGACAGTATATAACGAACAGTCATAATTGATATCGCCACATTCAGACATAATGCCATGTCTTACACTGACCCAAGTATGCGCTAGTATCATCATAAAAGTTACAAAATTTGTGTCAATATAAACGCATTGTGTGTGACTTGTAGGTGAACTGATACTTGGCGTGTGACTTGTAGGTGAACTGATACTTGGCGTGTGACTTGTAGGTGAACTGATACTTGGCGTGTGACTTGTAGGTGAACTGATACTTGGCGTGTGACATTGCTAACATAAATGTTCTGATACGGTATGAAAATTTTCTAGGGGGGGGGGGGCAAAAAAATCGATTAACTTACCAGGGTGGAGGGGGCAAAAATTTTTTAGTAATGTTTTAATGTAGTTTTAATTTACTGTAGCGTATTTGTATGGTGAACGAACGGACAGGACATCAGCTTAGTTACTTTCTCTTTATTTTCTCTTGACTTTAATAAATTTTTTGTCTATTTTTGTCTAAAAAATTTTTATCCAATCAATCCAGGGGGGGGGGCAAGTGCCCCACTTTGCCCCTACCTGCGGGCGCCCATGCCGGTATGTAATAGGCGCCCTCGCATCTCACATAGATTCGGAGAGAAAAACTTTGCAAGCGTCATATGAGCTCAACCCCTGAGCATAATTTCTTTAATGTAATCAAACCTTATTAAAATGCTAATTTTGTTTGCCCTTTGGATAAACATATTGGGTTTATTACTCTATTTAAACATCACTGTTCTTCAAATATATTAACCAAATTGATTATTGAGTATGTATGTCATACTCTGAATAGCCTGTAAACAATCCGTCATACAGAGTTATCCAACATGTTTATGAAATGTTCGCCATACCTTGAATAAATAACCCGTGCAACATCCGTCATACAGAGTTATTCGACATGTTTATTGCTAGTTGTCAAATTAAATGTTTTTCATGCTTTGAATGATCCGTACTGCCTGTTACTCTTCACACGTTGTCCTTTCCCCCCTTTTCTTCCCCCACTCGCCATAAGCTGCAGTAAAAGCCAATGTGTCGCAAGACCTCTCAGCATGTATTTGTAAAAATTTAAAACCGCAGTGATCAGAACCCCAACGGCTGCATATAACTGTTGTATTTTTAACGCCAAGTCTTTTACTTTATCTTTGATTATTATTTTTTTTATTTAAAGGTGACCCTTTGTGTTACATACTTCCAAATAACGCACAAGTCGCCGATGGCAAGAAAGATCCAGTGGCCCTTGAGGTGGGTGGCATTTTTTAAATGCTTTCTTTTTACTAAACGAAAATGTTGAACTGGTCAGTGAATTGAGGACTACGTTCAAGCCGTGTGAAGGAAACAGCAGAGCAAGGTATTCGAAAGATTGACTCGAAAGACAGAGGCAATAATTAAATAAGAACGTTTCGGCCAAGAGCCTTCCACAGCTGACAGAACAAATAAAAATATGACAAGAAATAGAAACTCGTTGAACACATGACTGATCGCCATTGTTGTTGCCCGAAGTTGAATTTTCCAACACCGTGATTGCTGGAAGTAAAGGAATTATTATTACTGTGGAAAATAAGATCTTAATGGGGGAAAACAATTTTTTTGGAATATAAATAAAATATAAGAAATGTAAAAAAAAAAAAAAGGGAATTTGAGACGTTACACGGCTGACTGATCACTGTAAGACACAGGTTACACGGCTGACTGATTACTGTAAGACACAGGTTACACGGCTGACTGATCACTGTAAGACACAGGTTACACGGCTGACTGATCACTGTAAGACACAGGTTACACGGCTGACTGATCACTGTAAGACACGTGCTACACGGCTGACTGATCACTGTAAGACACAGGTTACACGGCTGACTGATCACTGTAAGACACATGTTACACGGCTGACTGATCACTGTAAGACATAGGTTCCTGAATGGTTTTAGTTTGAGACGTTACACGGCTGACTGATCACTGTAAGACACAGGTTCCTGGGCTGACTGATCACTGTAAGACACAGGTTCCTGGGCTGACTGATCACTGTAAGACACAGGTTCCTGGGCTGACTGATCACTGTAAGACACAGGTTCCTGAATGGTTTTGGGCTGCGACCCGAAATAAAGTGACCCCGATGCATTTCAAACGACATTTTAATTAATTAAAAGTAAAAAAGATGAGCATTTATTTTTCAAGTATAATATAATGGTCTTTTAAAACCTTTCCATACATTGGGATGCAAAGATTGAGATAAAGCTCGTCGACAAGAAAACCCTTACAACTCATACATCTATTTTCAACATCTTCAAGCTGTGAGACACCAACTACCGTTACTTATATGAAATTTTTTTTTTCTCAGCTATATAAATATTAAGTTGTGCTGCTTTTATTTGAAAATAAAAGATTTGATGCGGTGTCACCCTAATGCTATTAATTCAGAGCATCTTGCCAGACTTTGTACCTCCTTTGTGCGTGTTTCAGTAATCTAAGAATTCTAAACTTTACAATGCAATCACTCCCCCACCCACCCACCCCCAAAAAAAATAACAAGAAAAAAAACACCCAAAACACATTATTTACGTCTGGTGGGGGGGGGGTTGATGTATTTATACCCTCAACCCAATGTACCTACCCTTTTCTACCGCCTTTAAAATGTACAGCAGGCTATATGCTCTGGCCATGCTACGGCCCTGCTACGGGCCTGCTACGGGTTTTCTTTGTTCTTTATCCCCCGACTCCCCCGACCCTCCAAAAAAAGAGAAGAAGAAAAATTATTCTTAGTTATCATAGAAACTTGAAATTTGATACCAGAAAAGCTCATATCACTTCCACTCATAATGATCACCAATTACGTCCCTGTTATCACTAAGGGCGTTCACGGAATGGCGGGGTTTTTTTTTGTTTTTTTTTTACACTAGAGATAAAATTTAATAAATGGAGATGTCTTGTGTTCAATAGTTTTAGTTGGAAAAAGGTGGACTTTATTAAAATTTGTATTTATTTATTTGCTACATAGGGGATAGCAACCATCAATTCTGTGACCGGCTGAGAGAATTTGTATTGAATATAGAATTTAAAAAAAAAGCAAAAATCAACTCCATTTTCAAACAGTTTTAAGAGACGTTTGTTTGATGCTGAGTTGTAGCGTGTTGTCGTCTGGGAGATGTGACCAATTGAACATCTAAAACTCAAGCGATGGCTCTGCTATAAGTCACAATACGTTTTTTAAAAGTTAAGCTGACACAAAGTTTAGTGGCGTTCAGAGATGTCAACTGGCTGACACAACGTTTAGTGGCGTTCAGAGATTATGTCAACTGGCTGACACAACGTTTAGTGGCGTTCAGAGATTATGTCAACTGGCTGACACAACGTTTAGTGGCGTTCAGAGATGTCAACTGGCTGACACAACGTTTAGTGGCGTTCAGAGATTATGTCAACTGGCTGACACAACGTTTAGTGGCGTTCAGAGATTATGTCAACTGGCTGACACAACGTTTAGTGGCGTTCAGAGATGTCAACTGGCTGACACAACGTTTAGTGGCGTTCAGAGATGTCAACTGGCTGACACAACGTTTAGTGGCGTTCAGAGATGTCAACTGGCTGACACAACGTTTAGTGGCGTTCAGAGATGTCAACTGGCGGACACAACGTTTAGTGGCGTTCAGAGATGTCAACTGGATGGTCCTGGCTGATGACACGTTATTTAAACCTGGAATTAGAAGAGGATAACTTTAGAGAAAAATGCTTGGTTTTTTTTTTCTTTAGGCAAGAGATCGCTCCCAGCACTCTACATTAGTACAAGGAGGCAGCCAAACTACTCAATCTGAAAAGGTGATGAAAATTAACTACATCGATTTTCTTCTAAACATTAATTAGGAGAAATATTTTTTGGAGAATAAGTTTATATTTGGAATAAATTAGACACATTGGACACTGCACTAAATAATCGTATATTTAAAAAAAACAACTTAGCATTGTTTTCTTATTGGGACATGATGATTGACTTTTAACTGATATACGCCAACTCTATGGGGAAAGTCTGCATTTTCTCATGCTTTTTTTTTTTTTACTGAAGTTACTATATCCTTTCTGTTCATCATCAAAGATCTTATTGGGGAATATCAAAGACTTAACATTAAATAAACAATAATTAAATAAGCTGAATGCTATTTTAATTAACTTCACGTTGTGTTTTTATGCTGTACTCCTTTTACCCAGGACAACCCAGTGATATCCAATGAACACAATGAAATCGACCTGCTGCTCATTGGTAAAACAGGCAATGGCAAAAGTGCCACCGGAAACACAATTTTAGGCAAGGACTATTTTGACAGCAGAGGATCCATGTCATCTGTCACACAGGAAGTCCAATATGAGTTTGCAGAGTACAAAGGCCGCAGCATTACGGTTGTAGATGGACCAGGTGTTGGGGATACTAGCCACAAGGATATAGTGAAGGCCACGAAATTTGTCATAGCTGCCATGCAGGATGCCGTGCTTCTAAATCCAAAAGGCTACCACGCGTTTCTCCTGGTGGTCCGCTATGGTGGCAGATTCACTGAGGAAGATAGTCACGTGATTAAAATGTTAAAGGCGATCTTTGGTCAGGATTTTGTCAAAAACGTTTGTATAGTGATGATGACGTGTGGAGATAACTTCGCGAAAGAGGAAATCGAAAAAAAATGGGAAAACTTTTGTAGGTTGGTGCAGAGAACAAACAGGCATATTTCAACAGTTGCTCCGCGAGTGCGAGTACAGGGCCATTCTTTTTGATAACAGGACTAAAGATGAAAAGGTCGTAAATGACCAGATTAAAATGCTAATGGACACAGTCGATGAGCTTAAATCTGGCGGGGAAAGGTACACGGACGCCAACTTCCAAAGTGTACAGAAATCACGCGATGATCTGTTACTCACATTGAGAGAACCCGTCATCCGACAAGACACTTTTAGACAAATCAGCCTCATCATTCATGAATTTGAAAGGTTGTCAAGCGGGGATGTTGAGGACAAACTCGAAAGGTTAGACGGCTTAATTGCGAAAACCGAAGGGCTGCAAAAAGAGATTAGTGAAGAGGATCATGGGACGGGAATTTTGGAAGAATCCCTCTCCTCCGTGAATCAGCTGGCGAAAGCTTTGGAGAATAAAGTTATGTTCGAAATACAAATGAACGAGATCCATTCAGAGATGGCGCGACGGGAAGCGGAATTAAAAGAAAGATACGAAAAGGAAACACGTGACTATGTTGAGCAACTGAAGAGCCGCTATGGAACTCTGGGATTTCAAGACCAGCAGAGGCCGGAAGGAGAGACGAATGACGGGGAAGGGGCTGAACCCAGGTTGGAACACGTCACTGCTGCCGAGTACAGGGCGATTCAAATTCAAGTAGAAAGTAATTTGCGAAGTGAGATCACCGAGACGGAAGAGAGATCCGCCGAAATTCTGGAAACGGTGAATAAGAAACGCCTGGAAGAGGCCGCCGTTTTAAAAAACACTATCGAAAATTATTACAGGATGAAAGAGAGCTACGATCACGTTGTCAGAGAGCACTTAAAGAAAAAAATTAAAAGGGAAAAAAATGTCCAATTTTATAATAGGTGAAATAGACAAATCTATACTTAACCCTTTCTTCGGTGCATTATTGTAACGGTATATAATTTGTATCCCCTCCCCTCGATATGCACATTGTTAAAGTCAACTTTGAATGTGTTAAATATATATTTTTGTTTGCAAGTTCGTTCAGTTACTTTAAATTTGAGGATACAAATGAGGACAGTGGGGGTGCAAATAGTGGGGGAGGGAGGCAGGTGTTAGGAATCACCTTGATAGAAAGGTCCCTAAAATTAATGTCACATTATCCTAGCTTTATTTCATAGCAGCAGCGTGAAACATTCATTTATCTTTTAAACTTTTTCAAACCGATTTATTTCTGTATCATCATGACATTTCACGTTATGGTTAATTAGTGGTTTTCTGTGTGTATGCTGTATAAATAAAAGATGTTTTGGATTATTTTTTTATGAGTGGGGTTGTTTGGTTGAAGGAGGTGGGGGGCATAAAACTGTTTCCTAGAGACCAAGATTAATTAATTTGGCTACAGAGCTTGTGTGAATAATTTTGTTTCGAATACTTCCGATTCGGCACATCTTCTTCCCTCTAGACTAGGGTTTCTCACGTCACAAATTTTTATTGGAAAACGGGATACAAGTGAAGTCGGGATAAACTAATTAAAATTACGAGGATTCCTTGGGGGCATTGTTATTTTAAAACAAATAAATATTTTGAATGAATGAAGACTTGGACGTCTGCTTCTGTTTCCTTCACTTTTCTCTGCTTAGTCCTCATGACAGATTGCTATATTATAGCTATAGGACCCGATCGAGACGAAATTTATAACTTAGAGTTTTGCAGTCTATATAATTTGCAAATTCTGGATTCGATTATTGTACTAAGTAAATGTTTCTGAAACAATCCTTTTTAAAAACAACAATCCCATTTGTTTTCTGAAACCCGTTTTCGTTGCACTGGGGTCGTCGCGTCACTTGGCTGCAATAAAATTGGATCGAAATTGTTAAAGTTGAGACCCACAGTACAAGAGCTACTGATCTTGGTATCCAGTAAAATAAACAATATTCTACAGACCATTGCGTCTCGCGACAATTTGTGATGTGGTGAAATTTAAAAAAAACAAAAAAAACATAGATGTTCTCATGATCTGTCTCAAGGATTTACTGGAATGGGAGAATGTCCTGTGACATCTCAACCTCACTAGCTTAAATCTATCGACCAGCATCTGGAATGGGAGAATGTCCTGTGACATCTCAACCTCATTAGCTTAAATCTATCGACCAGCATCTGGAATGGGAGAATGTCCTGTGACATCTCAACCTCATTAGCTTAAATCTATCGACCAGCATCTGGAATGGGAGAATGTCCTGTGACATCTCAACCTCATTAGCTTAAATCTATCGACCAGCATCTGGAATGGGAGAATGTCCTGTGACATCTCAACCTCATTAGCTTAAATCTATCGACCAGCATCTGGAATGGGAGAATGTCCTGTGACATCTCAACCTCATTAGCTTAAATCTATCGACCAGCATCTGGAATGGGAGAATGTCCTGTGACATCTCAACCTCATTAGCTTAAATCTATCGACCAGCATCTGGAATGGGAGAATGTCCTGTGACATCTCAACCTCATTAGCTTAAATCTATCGACCAGCATCTGGAATGGGAGAATGTCCTGTGACATCTCAACCTCATTAGCTTAAATCTATCGACCAGCATCTGGAATGGGAGAATGTCCTGTGACATCTCAACCTCATTAGCTTAAATCTATCGACCAGCATCTGGAATGGGAGAATGTCCTGTGACATCTCAACCTCATTAGCTTAAATCTATCGACCAGCATCTGGAATGGGAGAATGTCCTGTGACATCTCAACCTCATTAGCTTAAATCTATCGACCAGCATCTGGAATGGGAGAATGTCCTGTGACATCTCAACCTCATTAGCTTAAATCTATCGACCAGCATCTGGAATGGGAGAATGTCCTGTGACATCTCAACCTCATTAGCTTAAATCTATCGACCAGCATCTGGAATGGGAGAATGTCCTGTGACATCTCAACCTCATTAGCTTAAATCTATCGACCAGCATCTGGAATGGGAGAATGTCCTGTGACATCTCAACCTCATTAGCTTAAATCTATCGACCAGCATCTGGAATGGGAGAATGTCCTGTGACATCTCAACCTCATTAGCTTAAATCTATCGACCAGCATCTGGAATGGGAGAATGTCCTGTGACATCTCAACCTCATTAGCTTAAATCTATCGACCAGCATCTGGAATGGGAGAATGTCCTGTGACATCTCAACCTCATTAGCTTAAATCTATCGACCAGCATCTGGAATGGGAGAATGTCCTGTGACATCTCAACCTCATTAGCTTAAATCTATCGACCAGCATCTGGAATGGGAGAATGTCCTGTGACATCTCAACCTCATTAGCTTAAATCTATCGACCAGCATCTGGAATGGGAGAATGTCCTGTGACATCTCAACCTCATTAGCTTAAATCTATCGACCAGCATCTGGAATGGGAGAATGTCCTGTGACATCTCAACCTCATTAGCTTAAATCTATCGACCAGCATCTGGAATGGGAGAATGTCCTGTGACATCTCAACCTCATTAGCTTAAATCTATCGACCAGCATCTGGAATGGGAGAATGTCCTGTGACATCTCAACCTCATTAGCTTAAATCTATCGACCAGCATCTGGAATGGGAGAATGTCCTGTGACATCTCAACCTCATTAGCTTAAATCTATCGACCAGCATCTGGAATGGGAGAATGTCCTGTGACATCTCAACCTCATTAGCTTAAATCTATCGACCAGCATCTGGAATGGGAGAATGTCCTGTAACATCTCAACCTCATTAGCTTAAATCTATCGACCGGCATCCCGGGGATGAGAAACCGTACTCTCCACAACGCCTCCACTTGGACCCCCAATAACGTCAAAAAATCGAAGCAGCTTGACATTAAGCGTGTATTTACGTGTATTACACACACATGTATTCGTATTGAAAGACTAAAACGTTGAGATTTTTTTTTTAAATACAATTATTTGTATGTTTTCCATTAATAAAACTCTGTTGTAATGTTTAAGTAGTTACTTTTATATACTTTCTAATGACATTCGATATTCAGAATCAGTTATCTGGTGTTATCGCCAAAAAATATCGAGACATTTTTGTAAAATGTGGCAAAATTTCTTCCAACGATTCGTGCCACAAATTTCAATTATTTTTTAAAAGGGTTTTGTTATAAAATATTAGGTAAACATTTGCGCGTTTACTAATTTAATATCTACCCCCTTTTAAGGAGTTTTTCAATATCCAGTCAATGTCAGGGATGAATAAAAAGGGGGGACAAGAGACATCCATGTTTGACTCCTGTTTCCCCTTCAAAGTCATCTGTGGATCTACCTTCGTGAACCACCCTGTATGCCATTTCCTCATAAGACCTCTGAATAATCCTGACAAGTTTTCCTGGTACTCTATAATGCCGGACAAGTTTCCATAAAAATGTGTCGGTCCAGGCTATCAAATGCCTTATTGTATTCGAGAAAAGTTTTATACAAAGGGGTGTTCCATTCGATGCTACAATGATTCGTAGTGCTGCAGTTCGATACTTACAGATTTACCCTCATAGAAACCTTACACGGTTTTGCCAGATTAGCCATGAACTTGAAAATTATTTGCAAGATTGATTAGGTATAGGCCTTGTTCAAGTTTGGCATTTCATAAAAATTTAATTTGAAATCTAGCGTTAGCCTACCAGGTCCTTCTAACTGCTTAAAACGCGAGATTTCTGTTGAAAACTTTGGCACTAATAAAAAAAAAAACTCGTTATTTTAAAAAATAATAATAATAAAAATCTCAAACAATGACACCTTTAACGTTGCTTCCGGTTCGTGCGGACCGGCAACGTGACGTGAGAGAACCGGTGGCGGTCCGTGAACCACGTTTTGGGAAACACTTTTCTAGACTACCCCATACCTTTCTTTTAAAAACGCGATACAAACAAAATATGACTAAATCATAAATATTTAACAGAATACAATATGTCATGGCCCCTGTTTAAATTATTTAACAATATTTTTAAAATATTTTTTAATCTTGTAAAAGCTTTTGAGATATACGAATTTAAAGTAAGCCATTATTTTATTTGATCTACAATATAAAACTTATATATATATATATTTATATATATATATTTATATGTATATATATATTTATATATATATATATATATATATATATATTTATATATATACATATTTATATATTATATATATATTGCTTGACTGCAGTAACATGTTATGATTGTATAACGTTCATACTACTTCGTTAGTTGCTTATCTTTTATAACTGTATACATGATAACTATTACGAGAAATGCTGAAAGCATGAGGCAAGTCCAATGGATTGCACCATTATATCATGTTTATTCACAACACGTCACATTGTACACTATAAAACAAATCTTCAGGTTGGAGTGAAATAATTGCCAGGATTTTACACACTTCACTTAATTCTTGACACGCCCGAATGGATGTAACTCCAAAATAAATGGTTTTTTGGCCTTTGCCTACATACACTGGTAGTTGTTGTCTTTTAACATGTTTGGGAACTAAGCCTCCCCCTCCCCATCCCTGATTGGTATTTACATACACACACTCGCACACACAAACACACACACTTTCTCATTCACACAAACCACTCGCACGAACATACACACAAAGATATCACTCACCGAAAAAAAACGTTGAATAGATCATTTGCTTTATTCCTCTAATACAAAAGGTATCTCCATTCTTCCAACGAAAAGCGCAGAAATATCATATCACATATCATATATGTATATACCTGGGGATATTTTTTTTTATAATCTTGTGATATTTAAAAAAACAAAAGAATCTTATTTAGAGCAGTTATCGGAAATTTTATTTCGTGAAATCATATTCCATTCATCTTCCTCTTGAAAAACAGGAAAAGCTGATTTTAAAGGGTTGGGCCTTAATCATGTGATAGAATGTGTTGTTATCGGCTAAGAGTCTATGTGCCAAGATTCAGCTCGATAGGTTGACGAGAGGAGGGTCAGTCAATTTGCCTGCCAGCCACCCAACAACAAAAGTAAAGTTATATTTAACATGTTTTGTTGTTTTTTTTTTTGTTGTTTTTTTTCAAAAAACTGAAATATCTATACGACCATTTTTCAACAGCTCATTGTAACCACTAACACAGATAATTTACGTTTTACAAAAAAAATTATTGCAATATCTAAAGACATCCTAAAGTTCTTACGGACATTTACATACAAGTCATTTTAGGACAAATTTTTCCTGGCTGCACATAATTTTACCAACAGTTGACAATCCTGGTTTATAAACCAAGTTAAATGTGTGATATTTTACAGGGCTAAAAGTTCTAAATAAAAGAGATTTGAGTTTTAAAAAAATAAATATTTTTAATTCAGGAACTTTTTAGTTTTCAGAGAAACAATGATGAAGTCTGGAAACATTCAACAATCTCGGTCTTTATGTCTATAAATATTTTGTAAGATTGTATTTTTGGCCATGCTCGTTTTATTTTTGAATGGCAAATAATAGTTCATAAAATGCTAGTAAAATAGCAGACCGTACTGTCATTGATGATTGGGAGAAGAGGGTGCACCACCGAAACCCCAGAGGAAAACGGCTCCAAGGCTTAGGTGGATGGATGACGGGGAGAGTGATCTACGGCATCTCGGAATTCATGCTTGGAAGCATCAGTTTGGTCTGAGTGGGAGGGTGTGGTGAGGCAGGCCAAAGCTCGACATGGCTGAAGCGCCGCCACAGTGTTAGATGTACCGTGCTTTCAATAAGTTTAGAACCACTGTAGTTTTCTTTTTTTTAATGCAAAGATGTTACATCCAGCTGCATGATGAAGTCATTGGCCTTCCTTATGTTAACCTTTCATCTCTTTTATTAGTCAATAAGAAGTGTTGGTAACACGTCATTCAGCTGATGATAATTGTATAGGTAAGTTGGTAATACAATTGATGATTCAATTTCATAGTAAATAGTAAATAATAAAACGATAGAAAGGTAAATTAAATATGTCTAAAGT